CTCGTACGCACAACTTAAGAACAAATCTGTGCGTACGAACGGTTCTTGCATGAGGCCCAATCTTTTTGTCAGATACAACCTGGGTAGAAACAAAAGTATGTTTACCAACAAAAATAAAGTGAAAAATTCCACAGTTTCTACATTTTTTTCATTAATCTTGACATAGAGATTTTTTTTGTCATTAAAAATAGTTCTTAGCTCTCAAATTAAAGTCAAATAGTGCCAAATACATACCTCAATGCACACTGGAAACGTTTTTCTTCAGAACACCTTATGAGGTTCTCTGGGCCTCTTCTATCTGCATTCGGTAATCTGAGCACAATACGTTTTAATAAACTGTTGATCAGAGTCCCTTCTCAGTGCAAATGTCCATTTTGTAGGGATTTGACTAAAACAGAGTGGATTACCAGGAAGCTTCATGGTGAGTTTCTCTTTGGTTTGTTCTGATTGTTTTTAGAGCTGACAGCTCGGTCACTGTAGGCAATACCTGTCATGTTTGGAGGTGAGGAGGATCCAAATATGCAGACAGCAGCCAAGCAGCAAGCAGGAAGGTATATTTCAAGGATTTAATAACTTTACCCAAAAAATAAAATTAAAAAAACAAGCTGGCAGGCAGAACCAAACATAAAACCAGGACTGCCGAGCAAGAAACCACATGGATGTAGCAACTGAGAAAGAACTAAACTCTGGTTATACTGGAAGTGGTGATTTATCAGACAAACAGCTGGGCTGATTAGCAGAATGAAGAACAGGTGGGAGACAGAGCAGCGTCCTGGAATTATTTGACTAGTATCAAACCCTAAAATAACCCTAAACCCTAAAATGATTAAAGCAAAATTGTTATTAATGAGAAATGAAATTGTTTAATTTGTTTTTGTATGAGTTACTGTTTGAGGAGTTGATTTTTTTTGTTTTAGTTTTATTTGGTTTATTATTGTTTGAAATTAATATAATTTATTTTTGTAAATAGGAGCAGATATCATAAGATTTTTTTCCTTCTGCTGCCTTTAATTTTATTTKATTTGCATTGTTTTGTTTTATGTAATGTTTTTCAATGAAATGAATAAATAAAAAAAATACATAAAAAAATAAAATATCAGAACAATGCAGTAACACAAAAGAAAAAAACCCCACTGTAATTCAAGAAACGGAGTGAATGAGTTTAAAGATTTTGGTTTTGCTCTGATATAGAGTTTGTATTCATACTAACTTAACTAACATGTGACTCGAAGGACYCTGAATTGTGTTAATTGCAAAACAATAGAATCTTGGCACAAAAAGTAAGGAAATTTATGTTTAGTAGAATTGTTTTTTGTAACAATGCTTTTTGGCAATACATTTTGAACGCCTGTTAATGGTGCCAAATTTGTAAGGAACATGCATTTGTGGATTCAGCAGTAGAGATGAGTATGTGGGTTGCGCTCATGAAAAAGTTGCCTAATCTTCTTCGCCRAACACTTTATTTTGCTGTCATTGATACTTCTTTTGAGCTTCTTGTACCCCCAGGTGCTGCTGATCAGGTGCAGCTATAAGATTTATTGCCATGAAGCATCGTTAAAACAAAGAAAAAATCTACCAAACAGAACTTTTTCTATTAGCTTATTTCTGTTAATTTAAACGTTTGTAGCTGACTCCTGCTAATTTATTCTGTTTACTGTCTTTTTAGCTACTTTGTAGCTATTTTCAGCTAATTTTAGCATTTTTCATCGAAATTCACGTTTTTGTGATCATTTCAGCTTCTTACTGCTTAAYTCAGCAAATGTGCTCTTCCTGCATCTTCACTAAACAAATAAAAACATTAAAGCTAATGCTAACGGCTAAGTCGACTGTCACTCAGCCTGTATCACACATCTTCATCTTCTTCCTGTTGGATTTTTCTATTAGTTTAATTTGAAGGTGGGAGGCAGCGTTTTTGGCAATCCGAACCAGTTGCACCTTTGTCTAACTTGTAATACTTCCAGTTAATCCCTTTCAAAATAAAAGCATTTATTTGATTATGATTTAATATTTATAAATATTGTGTGAAGCTAGTTAAATAAGTAGCAAATACTTCCTCTAATATACGTAGCCGGTTTTTGTATTTCTTTTAATATTGTTAACTGTTATTTTATTTCTTTAGTTTGAAGTATAGCTGCTAAAGATGCTACATGCTATCACACAGTGACTGACACGTCCAGCAACGCTTGTAAGAAGGGATAATAAACCTTTTTTGCATCTTTGTACAAATTACAGAGTTTCATCTACTTTTTAGCTACCTTTTCTGCTAATTTTGGCTACCGTATTTTTCGGACTATAAGCCGCACCCCAACATAAAAAAAAAGTACACCCAAATTTTCCATCAAAAAAGTGAATTCAACATCAAAACATAAAAAGCAAACCTTTAGGAATTAAAGTTCGGAGGAATACGGTTCATTTAACTGACCTTATTTTGGTAGTTTTCTTTAACAGTTTCTGGTCCAACAAAACGTCTCATTCATCTTCCTCCGGCGCACTGAAACCATTGAAGTCCTCTTCAGTGTCAGAGTTAAACAAGCTGAGAAAAGCTGCGTCACACAGCGGTATCTGTTCAGTGTTGCTTTCTGTGTCGCTGTCCTCCCGGGGTAATGCTGGCTCTGAAGCTGTGGTGGGATGGCCCTCCCGCTCCAGCATACGTCACTGCATGGGATTCCTTCCCCGGGGAGTGCAATGAGGAAAAAAAGTCCGCGGCTCTTCACTCRACGTTTATCCACAAACTGGTCCTGGATTAAGCTCCAAAGTTTTTATCAGTCAGATTCCACTGTGAAAAATGTCTGTTTTATCCCCTTTTATGAGTTTTTGGTCATTGACTATCTTTAAATCGCTGCTTCCTGGTCAACAGTCGACTCTGGAAGCGATCGCTTTTTTCCTTTTTTTCCTTTCTTTTTTTGAAGCGAGTGGTTGAAGCAAATGGAGCATAAGAGCCCCCTGGTGGCTGAAGAAAAAATCCACGTATAAGCCGCACCGGACTATAATCCGCATGGTTCAAAGTTCAGGAAAAAAGTCGCGGCTTATAGTCCGAAAAATATGGTACTTTAGTTATTTTACAACAAATTGCAACTTTTTTGTACTCTTCTTGTTTTTTCTGCCAATGTGGCATTTTTCTACCCTCCGTTCACCATCTGTCTATAAATTGTAACTCGTCTCAGCTACTGTCTACTTTTGTTTTCCTACCTTCAGCAAAAGTCAGCTGTTCGAGTTTAACTCACATTTTCAGCTTCTTCAGCAGTTTGCAGGAAAAAATCTTTCAGCATTAAGCATACACGCTGCATTTTCACAGAAAACGCAAATTCTCAGGTTTTGTTTATTTTTATTCTGTCCTAATGCTCCGCCCCCTGCAACGGTGTCGTCCCCACTTTAAGAACCACTGACTCAATCGCAGCTGACTCACCCAAGGCTGGTTAAAAATGACAAATCTGAACAGACCCCGAAAGTCCATATTTCCATTTTCAGCATCACTCCAAAACCTTCCCTGTTCTTTTAACACAACCTTGACACTGAGCTGAAATCTTTCAGGAGAAATGTCCAGCACAAACAAACAAAAAATAATAGTAAAAAAAATACAGGAACGCTCAATACAGTTGGGTATTGATTTGTAGTTCAAGTTTAATTTCCTGGCGCGAGATTAAAATATTGTGTTATTGATTTAAAAACGTTGAGCGCAAACTTGGTGAGTGAAGCACTGCGGATGCTGTGGTGATGGCTAACACCCACAGAAAACCGGCTGAACGCACGAGGATAATGCTCGGAACGTTCTCCGATTTGCACACGTAGAGGAACAAATAAATCCTAGCTCCACTGCTCCTAAGTGTTATGAAGTGTTTGCTCTGAAGAGGCAGCCTCGTGTAATTATAGAGCGCAGAAGCAGGTAAACACTTCACAGTTAGAGAATCTCTCTTGCTGTTTTTTATTGGAGGTGTCTTCTGCACGCTCGCAAACTTTCAGAAACTTCTAAATTATTTAAAACTCTCTACCTCCAAGTTCTTTTTTGACTTCTAACCTCTGGGATTAGCTCTTAATCAGGTGCAGCACTTCTCACTGAGAGTCTAAATCAGCTGCTTTTTCAGAGTTTTTTATTCTGTTTGTCATTTTTTTCCTCTCTCTGGATAAGTGGAGTAGTGTGTAGTGCAGATGAAGCAGAGAAAATGTGTCTGAAGTGCTGTGCTGTGGAAACAGTGACAGAGAGGCCAGCTTTACCCTTTGCTCCTCCTCCTCCTCCTCATGCATACCAAGTCTCCTTTTTTTTAAATGGATGGAGTGAGGAGGATTGCAACGCTGATGAAATATTTGATGATGCCAACGTGAAACAGAGAACGAGCGTGTGAGCGGGGAAGAAGAAAGCTGGCAGGAAGAAGGTGGGATGACGCGAGCGCTCGGCTCGCTGTGTGTGTTTTTTGCAGGCGYTGTGAGAAAACGAATCGTCCCTCGGATTCCCACTCATCGCCTTCTAGAAATTAGCAAACCTAAAAATACACGCGCCGTGTGTTGCGTGTGCATAATGCAAAAAGAAAAGAGGAAAAAAAAAAACTTTGTACAAAATCTCTAATGCAGGTCTGTGGAAGGTGAAGGTAAGGTCAGACGTCAGCCTTGAAAAACAAAGTTCCCCCTCATAATGCTGCCATAACAGAAGATTTACATTCAGGTGCACTGGCAACCATGCTGGATGTATTTTTTTTTTTCATGTATACTGCAGACTGACTGTAATCTGCTCTCAGGAAGCTTTTCTGTCTGTTTGCTGCTGAGTTTGTGGAGGATATGTGAGGTGACAGAATAAGGCTCTGTCACCACTTCTTTCATTATTGATAAGCAGAGATGAAGGGAGCTAGGAGAGTGCCCTGAAAAAAAACAAAACAAACAAACAAAAAAAGACTATTCTGAAGCTAAAATGCCTGTTTTAGCCAAATATAGACTTTATTTGCATTTCTGATTCGTTAAGAAGAGTGTAGTCCAATAATTTCACCTCCGTCCCATATTCCATAGCCTCACAGTGTGTGTTTTTTGTGTAGGGCTGTTTTTGTTTCCACGGTTCTGTTTGTGATGTAGGATAAGGTATAGAAAGTAAAACATATTTTTCTCTTTTTTAAAACAGTTTTTTTGCACAAAAAAATCACTAATATATATTGCAGTTGGTGTCGTGAATGAGTCAGGGATGAGGAGTGATCTTTGAATATTCTAGAGCAAATTTGAATAATTAATGTGACCATAAAATCCGTTTTTCTCCTTTTCAAAATAAAACAAGAAAAAATGTATAATCAGTTTGTTTTTTTGTTTTTTGTTTTTAAAACTAAATCAGAAAAATGACAATTGCAAAAATGAAATGGGCTATATTTTCGATTTGATTTTAATGGTTTTAAATGTTTTTTAGTGCACTGTTTTGTGGATCTTCTGTCAGAACAGGAAATCAGCCACTATAAACTCTTCCTCTTCGGCAGCTTCCATCACTTCCTGTATTGCTTCATGTTWAAACACCAACCATGTATTTTAATGGGGACTGAGATAGATTAAGCTAAAATTAAACAATGTGGACTTTTGATTAGTTTTATTTGACATTTTTACATTTAGATTTTTTTTTAATTTTTCAACATTTGAAACTGAAAAAAACAACAACAAATAAACTATACATGGACTCAATAAAATTCTTTTTTTTTCTTTTACTAATTGTTCTTACTCAGTTGATGTGCTTTTTTTCAACACAACACCTTCTCATAAAAAGAAAAAAATAAAGCAAGAGTGTATCAGTGTGTGTTTTCATTATTACATTTTATTTTGAAAAGATAAAGTGGAAACTAGGGTCACAGGTGAGTTTAGCATTTCAGCCAGGATACATTTGTCCTCCGCTTTACATCAGTAGTAAACAAGGCTCTGGACTTCC